CCTCCACCATTTCTCTCCCCCACCCCCCCCGGTGGGGGGGAGTGAGCGAGCAGCTGCGTGGTACTCAGTTGCCGACTGAGGTCAAACCACGACACATGCCCAAGGATAGCAGCATTTTATGGCTCCCAATAAGAAAACCTGTTTGAGGAAGTTCTGAGATGATTTTCAAATGGAGTAGGTCCTGCTTTTATTTTGGTACAAAGTTTATCTGTAACTTTTAAAATGAGAATTCCCCTGTCCCTGGCTCAAACTTAGGAGGAATTAAACTGCAGAGCAGACAATATATTTTCTCTGTTTTGTACTTGACACTGGGACTTTTTGACAGAGGTTTCCAGGTCGACATCAGCACCCCTCTTTGCCTATGATTAATAGAAAAGAACAGACACAGGGTGTCTCATCTGACCAAATGATCTGCGACGCTATGTCTTTTATAGTTCACAGATTGACGATGCAGAATGTACCTTCATGCGTGGTGAGTGGGTGGGCTTCACTGGCATGCAGGGAGAGCAACCTTGAAAGGTGCAAGTGGCTTTTAATTTCATTTTGAACAAACTTTCTTTGCTTCTTACAAAACAGGTGGGTTGATCCTCTTCCTTTCAGGCAACCATGTAAAGAAACAACCTCCTGTACACTGGAGCTGCAAATCGAATACACTCATGGATTTGCTTCAGTAACATCCTGCAAATTTCTCCTTAGGGACTTTTGGAGATGACGAACCAGACAATTTTGACATCGACTGCTTCAGCCAGCTGGAATTTAGGGATTCCTATAGCAGCCTGACCTGCAATTTTACCGAGCCGCCTCCTCACAACACTAACTATACCCTGGCCCTGTGGTAAGTGCTGTCAGTCTGTCCTTTGGTAAACTTCTGGGAAGCGAAATGCTAAGCACCAGTGAGTCACGTTGCTGTATGCTGGGAAACAGGAGCAGCAAAGCCAGACAAAATTCTATTTCAGAGTGTTTTACCAAGTTTAAATACTATATTCAGCAAAGAAGAAGAGTTTACTGAAATAGAACATAACTCCCTAATAAGGAAAAAAAGTCAGCTGGAGGGGTCTGTAAAGGACATTATAACATCTCCAACAGTCCTGATCTTGCCTCTGTTGCTCTGGAACACCTGTAATTATGGATGTAGCTCAGCATGAACAGAGAACGTTTTTCCTTTTAACTAAATAATATTTAAAAAAATAAACCCCTAACCTTTATCAAGTGAAAAGTGAAAATGTTTTTGAAGAGGCAGATCCTTTCTGCAGAAAATTCTTTGCCAAGAAGGCTGATTTTCCACTGCAGGGAAAATGCCTTTATCCGGGTCAAGACAAAAATTAAGCAATTGTCTTTGCACACACAGACGTGCAAAAAACACACTAGAATGAGTATACAAAAGCCCAACAGTAACCAAACACATCAGTCATCTCCACTTCTTGTCAAGGCCTTGAAATTCTTTTCCACCTTTTTTTTAACTGATGCATCTAGCTGAAGAAGCTCAGATTTTGTTTCTTTAGCATACTTCTGCTTTTCCCTTTGCCTGTTTTTCCTGAAACTGAAAGTTCTGCAGCAGCCAGCAAAAGAAGTGGATTTTTTTTTTTGCCTTGCTATTCTAATCACTACTTAATTTTTTTCCACCTAGTTTATTAGAATTTTTCTATTTTCATGGCATTTATTCCAGATTTTGACTGAAATTTTATGACAGTCCTCAAACACAGAAGTCACACAGATGGACGAACACGCAGATATATTTCCACCTCTGAAAGTGTGCCTTATGACTCCTTCATGGCCTGGCTGACTGTTGACCCTGTATTTGCTACCACTTCAGTCAATAAGAAATTTATCTTCAGTGAACATCCAAACCTATTGCCCTATATTTAAAAATGGCAGCAGTAAGATCATTTTTAAAGGTACAAAGGTTTTTAACACATACATCTCCAATTTAATAACTGCATTTTTTTTCTTGGAGAGCTCCAGGACTCTTACTGTGACTCACGTCACTTGATTATTGTGCTCAAAGACCACGAAGAAAAACGTATCAATCTTTTAAACCCCTTATTTGCATGGCATATTTTTCTTATTTCACATGGAGTCTCACTTCAGTTAATGTGAAATGAGCAACCAGGATTTGTCCCTTACTATGTTATAGTAAAACTGAGAGGAAATTAACATTGTGTCACTTTGGTCAACAGTACCAAGGAAGACAGCAATTACGTGTGCTTCAATATGGAGAAACAGGAAGATGCATATTTCTTACAATTCACTGATATACTCTCGAATAAAGACATTTGCATGGACTCTGAGATGAAGAAAAGGGTCTGCAGGAGTCTGGTTGTAACTGACATTGGTAAGACACCTAACATTTTGGACATTTTTAAGATATAGAGGTTACTGGGGGGAAAAATAGCCCGGCGCAAAGCCTAAGCGTCAATCTGGATGACAAAGAGGCAGTATAAAATAGTGTCCTAGCAGGGCATGTAGCCTGGATTGGGGTGTTGGCAGAGTGTGGTGTTCTCCTTGCTTCAAAGCCAAACACGATTAACCTCCATTCAAAATAGGCAGCAGAATTCTGGCTTGTAACACTCTGCGCAGACCTGGACATAGACCGAATCATGCACATGGGTGAAGCAGCTGTTCCTGACTGTGGACGAACTGTCAAGCAGGGACATTCTGTTCATCTCTTACTAGGGATTGCGCAGTTTCAGGACTGACCACCCAAAGTCTAGCGTGAGCTCAGTAGCACAGGGACCGCAAGGTTGCAAGATCTCACTTTTTCACACCTTGCTTCTTGGTTGAGCCTGTTGTCTGAACAAGGTGCTGAAGCATCCTGCAGCACAGAAGGGACACAAAAAGCCCATTAATGGGCTCATCAAAGCCACGCTGGGGACCTGCCTGAGCCAAGAAATAGGCAACTCAGGGGAAGAGGGGCTTCTTAGGACCTAGCCCTCTTGGGAGCTGATTCAAAGGCTGCAGAGAAGCCCGTGTAGGGCAGCTATGTTCTGCTCTGGTGCCACATTGCTTTGCCTTCCTTTGGCAATGGGCACTGCAACATCCCTCTCTTATGAAACATTTTTGCCACAGTCCAATAGTTTTGTAATCTTACATTACCGTTCAGTTTATGGGCCAGCCTCAACCATCCCTGGTGGTCTCTCCTCTAGAAACTGCAGGTTCTGCATGGAAGGATTAAGTATTCGGGGGTTGCAGAAGGAGTAGGCATAATTTCTGGCTATATGCATTTTCCTGAGAGGAGGGAGGTGTGGGCTCTCTGTTCCTGTGAGACTGATATACTTTACATGGCACATTCAGGAAGCCTCAGTGGCACAGACATAGGTCCCTGCAGAGACCTCAGGCACATCCAGCTCAGGCACAGCTTGGGGAGAGTCCTGAGGGCTACATTTTGGACTTGATGTACTTGCACAGATGGTCATTTGACACAGTCTCCTGCAGACCGGGTCAGGTGTGGGTTCATAGCAAGGGCCTGGAGCCACAGCCCCCTCTGCTATGTCTAACACTGTCATACTTTGTCCCTTCCTCTGTCCTACCGCCCTGACAGCTACCAGCAGTTGTACCCATACCCAGTTTGCTCCCCAGTGCCTTCCTCCCAGAGCAGCGATGCGTTTTGCCATGGGGTCTCCCTCTCAGAGCACTGGTTAGAGGGACTGAATTTCAGGTCTTCAAGCAGTGCTACTGCAGGGGTGGGCATGCTCAGGAATTGCTTTCCAAGTCTAAATGTCACATGCCGAGGAAGCGCTGTCCCTGCTGGTCACACTGCTGCTCCAGCAGGTCAAAACCAAGCCCCTCTCAGGACCAAGGTGTAAGGATGAGCTGGGGCTCAGCATGAGGCTCGCCCAGCTTGGGCCAGCCCTTGCTCAAGATAGGTCACCCTGCAGGGGGTGTAACTTGAAGTGGACTTTTTTTTACTTTTCAAAACCTGTTTATTTTGTAGTAACATTATCCTACTCCTGTTATATCCTGGTTTGTTATCATTTGCAGTTAAGCCTGAAGTACCATTTGATATAAACATCACATACCAAAAGGAGGCAAATGAGTATCTTATTCATTACAGTACACCACACTCATGGAAGAAATACTTAAAGGACAAATTAATACACCAAATAGCCTATCGGCAGGAAGAAGGTACTTGGAAAGTAAGTGATGATGTTTTGGTGAGCTTACACTAATTTCCGAAATGAAACATAATCAGAAATACCAGTATCATGTAAAAACCCTCAGATCTGCATTTCTACAGTTCTCCAGCTGAAAGCTTGGAAAGGTGCAGTATTTGGCATTTGGAAATTTCATCAGTCGAAACAATTCCAGACCGAGAGCACCCATGTCTGATGATAGACATTTCTCTGGGCTAACAAAGTTTCATTCATTTGGGCTTTGCAGTGGGAAGAGATGACATAATGTAACGAACCATCCTGTGTTTGGATGGCTTGCTCTTTGCTATGGTGGTTTTGCTCTATTTTCTCTGCTTATCAGTCAGTAAACCGTATGACCCCTTTTCTTATCTAGCAACAGTTTCTTCATGTCCCTTTTCTACTGAGCCTCTCCAGGCTTCAGGTGCAGCCCTGCAGCTCTCCCACTCACCATGTTTTGGGCCGCAGCTGCCTGTAAACTGGACCTGGTTTGGGCTGCCCAGCTGCTGGGACCTCTGTGACCCCTGTCACAAGAGCAGCCATGCAAACACTAGTCCAGATGGGGGGTGTTTGAAAGCGTGGACTGTACCTGGTTTTTACAGAGGGAACACAGGAGAACTGAACTAGAAAAAGAAAAGGATTCAGGCAAACAAATACATTGAAATGAAGAGCACCAGAGCTGCACTGTGGGATTTCAGCTTCTTTCCTGTAGCTGCTCTTTCAGAAATCAACTTTTTATGCTGCATATATGTATTTTTTCCCCCTCTCTCTTTTGACCCTTCCCAGGGAGGCATATATTTCCCACTGCAGTGTCAGCAGTAGAAAAGCACAGTTAAAATTTCCAGCTGTTTTCCAAAGAGCTTTTACCTGGCGTTAGTCTCTCTTCTCGATACTGTCTGGACTACCTTGCTGTTAAACTAGACTGATGCTGTCATGACCACCTGTATAATAACCAAAGACACGGAGCAAACAGCACAGTACTGCAGGGATGCACCTGATCTTGCATATTTTGCTGAAACTCAAAGATACTTTTCCTGTGTCTTCTAGAAAAATAATGGGATTTTTTTGTGTGTTTAGACAATAGAGTCGCCATACCTTCAGGTAAAATTACTGGGGAAAAACCTTGAAAATGATGCATCGTATGAGGTGAAAGTACGTTCGCAGCCCAACGGAGATTATTTTAAGGGCATGTGGAGCGAATGGAGCACTTCCAAGAGCTTCAGGACCACAAGGGAGCAGCACTCCACAGAGAGCTGTAAGGGCAGAAACCACTTTGGTCCACCTGGAAGAAAGCAGAGCTAGGGGTCCTCAGCTCCCTGGCCAACCCTGGCGGCAGCAGTGACGAGAGCATGGGGAGGGAAGAGGCCACGGCCATGGCAGGGTCAGCCCTCACAGGCACCAGGCACCCCAACGGAGATGACCCAGCAGCTCTGGTCTGGGGCTGACTCTCCACATGAAGGGCAATAAGATCAGATGAAATGCTGCTGTAAGGGCATGAGGGGGGTGCAAAGGGAGGTGAAGGCTGACTCACTCCTGCTTGCTGCCTGCTGATCTGCAGAAGAACCAGCTTGCACTGAGCGTTTTAGATGAGGCACAAAGAGCAGCGAAACATGGCCCATTTCAGGGCCCTGGATTTGTATGCAAACATGGCACTTTAATCACAAATACGATATGGGATAAAATGTCATCATTGCACTTGTAAACATGAATAATCCTTCTGGTCCTTGGAGTCCCTTCAGTCCCAGGGGCACCTTGGCATTACGTGTGTTCGAAGTCACTTCAGTGCTGCTGTAAGGATACAGCGAGTGGTGGCTTCAACGCGCTGGAAATGATAGCAGACTTCGAGCTGCTTTAATCCAACCTGGGAACCCAGCTTAGAGCTCAGCCAAGTGCTGATGCTCTGCCAGCTTACCTCTTTCCTCCTTCAGGGAGGCAGGAGAAATGCACCACTGCACCAGTCCAATGACAGGCAAGTGCAATGCTTGGCATTAATTCCTAATTTATTGTCTGAAGAGACATTACAGTTACGGTGGCTTAAGAGTGAGACATTTACATGCATTGGCTGATATTCTTTGTTTTTCTTTAGCTAGCAGCGTGGTCGTGGTTATATTCTCCATCCTGGGATTCATGTTGTCTATTGTCATGATTGTCCTGATCGTAACTTTTTGGGAAAACAGGTAATCTAAGTCTTTTTGTATCAGAAAAAGTGTTGGAAGCCAATCCTGTTCTGACAGTCTTATTGCTTTCCCTGTTATACTTGTGAACTACTCTCTTTCCATCTCTGGACCTCTATATCAAGCCAAAGGCAGACAAAGCGTAGAAGTGGGCAATAGAAGAGAGGGTGTTGGCAGGCAGAAGATGACCTGCCACTCTGAGGAGACTTCAGTCTTGGGCTCGAAGCACTGGGACCTTTTGGGAGCTGAAGTCACCATGAAACACTTACAGAGTCGGTGTCTTGCTGGAGGCAAATTTGTCTCAAAAGCTTCAAGCAAGATCTGGAAAGAAAGCGACCTGTGGGTTTTAGTAAAGTCCCAAGAGGTGTGGAAATGGTATACTGGGGAGATTGCCTCTTTCCCTTTCATAGGCTGAGTCAGCAGCGTGTTTGCTCTGCAGCGCTTTCGGAAGCAGCAGGGCAGAGCTCTCTGCAACAAGGGCTTGATGGCGTCAACCACCAGCTCAGCTGGGTCCACATCCAGCCAGCCATGTGGCAAAACCAGGCTCTACATCCCCCACCAAAGCAGTCATGGCAGAAGTGGGACTGGAGATACATTCATTACACAGGCAGTCCTTTGCCTGCGTTCTTTTTTTTTCATATATTGGCTACACAGCAGTAGATAGCTAGCTGTAAATATATTTTTTAATACGTGGCTATATATGCTTACAGAGAATGGATAGTTGACAAATTTAAGAAAATGAGCAGATACATAGATAATCTGGTGAAACCAGAATCTGAAGTGAAAAAGTCCCAAGTTTAACCATAGGAGATGAAGTCCTTGCAAGGCAGAAAGCCTAGGGCTGTTAGGTGGCATTCAGAGTAGCCCGTCCATGACATCCAGCTCCACTGACATCCACAGACATGGCTGCATGCGAGCTGCTTTTTGGGGACAACACTTGGGCTGTGCTAACTCCTGAATTACACACAGGGATTGCCTGGGAATGTGCTAGTTGGCCCCAGTCAAACCATGCCAAGAACAATTTTAATAATTAAACATTTTAGACACTGGAGTTATCTGCCAGGGAACGCTCCCTGGTGCTGTTTTATTTGCAAGTATAGATGTGGCTTGAGATTTCTAGCTCTTGCTTTTTACTGTTGCTGAGCACCTGCAGTTCCCTAACTTTGCTAGAAGCTCTGCTTATGTAAAACTGCTGAAAAAACAAGCTTTTAGATGGTGAGACTTTTTGAAGCCAGAGATTTCCCTTTTAAAAAGAAGAGGGTTTTAGACATGTGTGTATATATACCCACATATACAGACACATACATAAAATGAAATATATATTCATATACATCTACAGCTACATTTATGTCACTGCAACATTGAATGTCAGTCAGGCAATATTCTCTCGATGTATCATAGCTGAGGGTTTCCAGCGGCACAACACGAGAACTTTGCTAATCAAGGCAGTAAAAATGAGACCTGTGGGACAAGGCTACAATGCAGATATCTGAAGCACAGATAGCTGGCCAAGGAGTGGGACAATATGCAGTTCTGTGACTTATGTAAACATGCAGAGGCAAATATCAGCAAATTTGCACTTTAACCACAGCATCTTTCTTCACTTGCAGAAATTGGTTTCATCATGCAAAACCCTGTTAACACAGCTAGATGCAAATGAGCTCTTTGCCACCATAATTTGTTGCTTTTCCAGTACTTGGTGAAATGTCTTCCTTTAACTGTGACGATTTGTGCACTCAAAAGGACAATGACTATTTGGTGACCTTTATAACTCCTCTTTTCCTGTCTTTGTTTTATTATGAGACTTCTCTGTCATTATTCTGGGTAATGCAAGCCAGCCCTAAGGCTTTGTGAGAATTAGTATGAATGATGCAATATGAATCTCTGATATCTCAACATGTCCCTCTTTTGCTGAGGGACAGTTTTTTTTGAACTCCTTTTTGTCTACTGTTGCTGTTTCAGGATCAAGCCTGCTGTGTGGCCAAACCTTCCTGATCATAAAAAAACGCTGGAACAACTATGCAAGAAGCCAAAAAATGTATGTACTTCCACTGTTGTTTTCACCTGAGTATAGACTATCGGGAACAAAACTAATACTTATGAGAGACAGTACATGCATTAACTGGGGCACCTTTCAGAAATTACTTCTACATTTCACTGAAGAGAGCCCACATTTGCACAGGCAGATGCTAGTCAAAGGTATGGAAATAACAGACAATTCAACTAGTGCCTGAGCTTTGACTTGTGCAAAGAAACTACAGAGGGCTGGAGGACTTGATATATGAAGAAAGGTTGAAGGAATTGAGTTTGTTTCTAGAAAAGAGGAAGCTTGGGGTGGGGACTACTAATCACAACCTTCCAATACCTAAAGTGTAGGTAGAGAGATGGTGGAGGTGCTCTTGCCACAAGGCTGCATGGTGACAGGACCAGAGGCAACAGGCATATATTGCTTCAGGGCAAACTTCATCTGGATACAAGAAAAAAAATCTTTCTCTGTGACAACAATTAAACATTGTGTAGGTTGCCCAGAGAAGAGGTAGGTTCTCCTTTGCTGGAAAAGGCTTGGCTTGATAGGGCTCTGGATAACCGAATCCAGGTCCTGCTTCTGGCAGAAGGTTGGACCAGTTGGACTCCAGAGGTCCTTTCCAACCGAGATGCTTCGGTGATTCTATGAAACTGTGATTGTGGGGCTGGATGGGGACCCTTTGCAGACATCCCTGGTGATGCCTGTGTACCCTTACAGAGCCAGCAGAATTGCTCATACACCATGCAGTACATGAACTGCTCTGCCAGATAAAAGGCAGATGGACAAATGTTACAAACTGTAAGGTGCGGGATTAACCCGTTGCCTTAAAACTATGTGTCTAGTGCATTTTTTCACTAAGAAACTCATCAGCGCTGTTCTCTCCAGTTGGTACATTATTAGCATGTTCTTAATTTAATAAGAGGTCTAAGATGACTCTCCCACCCCCCGTGCTCCCCAGTGCAGGGATTCCTAATGTGTTTCAGGAAGTCATGGCAAACTTTTATTTCCCTCACTGCTAAATTAGGAAGGTAAAACTGAAAGGAACCGCCTGGTCAGCACACTCATTCCTGTGAAATGACAGGCATGCAATAGATGTGTGGCTCAGAAAAGCCTCTGAAACATCAGTTCCCACCACATTGCATAGAGCATAAAACGCTCTCCAGTGGTGCTGCCTGCAGGAGGCCACTGGATAGATTCAGATTAATATGGAAAAGGATTTTAAGCCACATGATAGTTTATTCTCTGCTAACCTATTGTTCAGCCTGCTCAGGGTTACTTTCGGAGTTAAAGAAGTAATAAATACCCTTCTAAAATCAAATGAACTATCAAAGTAGTTTTTCTCTTAAGCTAATACCCACTGTTAACTGACCATGCTGTTCCCTTTGCTGTGCAGAATTTTGATATAAGCTTCAACCCAGAGAGTTTTGGTTACGTTCATATCCATAAAGTGGATGGCATTCGAGCAAAAGCTGAACTGGAAAATTTTCTGCAGCCGTCAACTGCTCCAGAGACAAACATTCCAGAAAAATTTAGGAGTGGATCAGATCAGAAGATGATCCCTGCGATGACAGACAAAAGCAAGCTAAACCTTCCTGTGACTTACGGAGGAATCTGGCCAGCTGAAGCCCTGCACAGACTCCTGGGCACCAGCCAGCTTGCAGTCACCGAAGGAAACTGCAGCTCCAGCACCTACGAGGTGTGCCACAGCAATGGGGTGCCCCTGTGCGATGACGCTTTCAACCTTTCTTCTGCTCCTCCCCCGGATCCCTCTCACCAGCCCAGACCAGAGCCCCTAAATGGTGACACTGCATCCCAGATGCTGCCTACCAGTGAAATGAGGTCACCGAACAACGAAGAAGCCTATGTCACAATGTCTAGCTTCTACAAAATTCAGTAAACCTTACAGGAATGATAGCGTACCATTTTTTCTCTAACACAAGCAGGACACTGAAGCTTTCTGATTTGTTTTCCTGCGTCCTGTGAGTTCCCACCTCCGCAAGGCACCCTGCTCACAGTGCAATGCTATACCTGTAAGGAAGTCTCCCATGTTTCAGTGATAAGTGGCCTAACCTCAGGTCTCAGCATGCCAGTAGCAATCTCCACTGCAGCAGCAATTAAATTTAATTAAACTTGACTTTAATCTTCATAGAGTCACAGAATCATTAAGGTTGGAAAAGACCTCTAAGATCATCGAGTCCAACCAGATCTTCAGATCTGATTAATCCAGAGCAATGACACTGCAGTCCTAGCTGAGGATCACAGCACATCTCGTAGAAGTTAATGAACTCTTCTGTTAACCTCTTGGTTGCAAAGTAAGCTCTTATTAATGCCTAAGCAAGAAATATGGTAGCAAATAGAATCCAATCTCTTCAACAGCAGTAGGCCAAGAGTAACTCCTCTGCAATCAGTGGAAGTCCACGAGTTTGCAAAACGCCGGTAAATGAGAGTTGCTATGAGGCATTTGTTGCCTGGGGATTCAGGAGCTTGGTTACCGCAAAGGGAGTTTGCTGAGCCCCAGCAAAAAGGGCACATGGACTCACTTTACGAAGGTATTTTCTCAGACTGATTTTTTTTTTTTTTTTTTGAGCAACACAGAGATTAAAACAAAGCAAAATCCTACATAGCACTACTTTTTGATGTTGGTAAAAATCTGCTCGACAGTGACTATTTAGGATCCACAGGTACTTCTGCTAGTGCTATATATTAAAGATCTTCAGTATTTCATGTACTAGCAATGTTTAGCTAAGAAAACAAAACAAAATCAATGAAATGCAAAGTCCCATCTCTTCCTAGAAACTGAACTGGGGCTGTAAAATGTATGATGCTGTCTTTGAGTGCAGCTCTTGTGCAAGCATTAGTGCAACATGTCAGTACTTTCTGGGACAGAAGGGCTGAGTGGACCGTGTTTATTTACTAGCATTATTCCCAATGGCTGTGGCTGCATGAGAATACTTCGAATTTGGCCAGGCAATGTTCTCATGCAACATCTGACCTAGGAAGATGGATGGAGTGTCACGGATCCTGCCAGTGATCAGAAGACCTGTATTTTTTTTTAAAAGTACCTTGTAAATTGCCTGGAGACAGCTTTTTTTTTTTTTTTTTTTAAACATTATGACATAGGAAGGCATCCTGTCTCTTCCCAGTCACCTTTCACTGGACTCTGTGCCCAGCTCTAAGGGGTTCCCCATGTGCTGCCACACACAGATGACTGAGCCACTTCACAGTCCCACTGGGGATGCTGCGCATTGCAGAGCACACGCTTGGAGATAAAGCTGCTACAGCCACATGGTTGCACGACAGCCAAGCAGTGTGGCCATGGGAAATCCAAGCTGTTTTGCTGCGCTCTGGGATTGGGGTTCACCTCACTGTGCAGTCTCAGTTCCTCTAGCTGCTTGAAATTCTCCTTTGCTGAAACATATTCACATTCCCAGAGCCTAAGGGTAAAAAGAGTCCTCTCTCATCCTCAGAGCTGCTCAAATTTGTTCTGATTGGTAATAATCACCAAGTTGTCACTATATTTGATGTAGCCTGCTGGAGAAAAACAGCATTCCCAAGACAGCACTCCACCTTCTCCACCTCCACCCAACGCTAGAGAAACCTTCCAACAGGACCACCTTTCGGTCCCTGTGTGCAAAGGGGCTGAGGATTTGGCACAAGGCATTCCAGTGACATTTTACAGAATGAGTTTTATTGCTGTTTCTCACCAAATGAAACATTGATTAATGCAGTAGAAAAAGATGAAAGCCCTGGACATTCATTTGCTTTATAATGCTTGTATTTTTTTTTTTAAAAGAGCTGCTGGTAATGCTCATACTGTGCCGACTTGCACAGTGCGATTGTATATGCAGACAGACTGTGCTGGAAAGATATCCTCTTCCTGTAACACAGTGACAAACAGAAAGGGAATAGCACAAGAAGCAAAAGTGCATCAGAAAAAATCTTGTACAGTATGTGCTATGCTTGTTTTGAATTCATACACACATTTTTAAGGATTAAAAGGGACATCATAAATGTCTATTTGCACTATTTAAGCAGTAAGGTACCTATGTGTAATAGTCTTTCTGTTTGTCCAGAAAGGTATACTGCTTTTTAATACGGGAAAAGTAGCAGAAACCTGATGTTTGCTCCTTAGTACAGGACAAGTAGTAGAAACCTGATGTTTAGTTACTTTAATCACTCTGAAACAGTTATATTTTCCCTATATAGTACTTATATTTTTGCATAGCTGCTAATGTTTTGACATTCATTCCATTTTCTATATCTTATTATCTTATTTAATTAGATAACAAGTAACCTTGGTTTTATAATGTTTTTACTGTATTAAAAGGACATGGCTATTTGCATGACCTATTTATCCTGCTCTAATTCAGTCTTCTAATACACATCTATCAGGATAGGACTTACTCTGCCCCCACTGAAATTTGGATAACTCCATGGGCTCTACCTAGCTTCAGGCAGGATAAAACCCAAATAAATCCAGACAGCTCAGAGGTATGAAAGCACTGTAGGATAACAGCAAGCATCACCCTCCCTTCATTGCCACGACCCTGCAAGCCAGGGAAGCCACCCTGCAACTCCAGTCCCTATGTTTTGGACTGGGCATGCCTTTGTTCATCCTGACTCCAATTGCCATCCAGCTCTTGTTACGCAGAAAACAGAGAGGTAACAGCTCTGGCAATCAGGTGGGTGAAGCCTATCTCCTGCAAATGGCTCGTACTTGCTCAGGTGAGCCAGAAGCTTTGCCCAAGCTCCCGTGTGCAGCCGTGAGTCCGCACCATGAGCACCAGAAAAGAAAAAAAACCCTCAGGCTTGCGATAGTGTAGGTATGCTTACAGTAAGGCAAAGTCCCATATAGGCTGTGTCCTCAGAGATGGTACTTCATTAACACACTGCTGAATGCTGACAAATATGCAACTGATAGAAAACAGAGCGGCCTTTTGTTAATTATGTTCATCCCAATACAGCTTTTCTTAGTGGAAGCTATAGGCTAACTCATGCCAGTCACAGGGGGTCACTTCATTCCAGGCATGTATCTGTGTTGTAAATAGTTGTAAGATAAAATGCTGGACTAATCAAGCGTGCGTCAAACATACAAGGCCAAAGCTAACGAGTACATCGCATACAAGGCCACAGCTAACGAGCACATCGTGAGAGACAGATAAGTACTAGCAGAAACCAGACAAGGACAACCAAAACTGTGGCAAACAGCAGTGATGAGCCAATTTGTGACCATATAAGGAGAAGGGCCCAAAGGTTCAAGAAAAGTTCACCTCCTGCAAACACAAGAAACCGCGAGAGACCTCCAGAGACCACCTAAGACACCTGAAGATGCTCCTAAGGACTCATAACGCATGCATGAAGGACTATGCAAATATTACAATTAGTTCCTAGAAATATAGTGAATATGCATGATTTTTCCAAGAAATTACTATGAATATGTATATCGCAGAACTATATAAGAGACAGTTGATGTAGCATACAGCGTGCATGCTAGGAGGAGAGATCCCCCATGCACCCGGCCAAATAAAGTAATGCCTGCTCTTTAATACACCCAGTGTTAAGGAGTTTTATTCCCAATTTTTAGTGACACCTAGGCATATGATGAAGCCTATCCAGAAGAGTACCTTTCCAGAAGAGCACCTTTCCAGAAGAGCAGCAGCGAGCCAAGTCAAGGGGGGGTTAAAGGTTAGCATTAAGGTTTCTAAAGCACCCTGGCTCCCAGAAGTGGCCATGAAACCTGTTCATTGAACCACATCCAACTACTACCAAGCCAATGCCAACAACTGGGTCATTACAGTGCTGTTCAGTCAAGTCCTGTCAGGCTGAACTTTCACAAGCACTAAGCTCCTCTGAGATAGCTCTGTTTGGGGATTAGGCTGCTCTGAAGCATGCAGAGGCTAGCAGTCTCCTTCAGCTTTGACAATCTGGCCTGAACTGTGGGAGCTAAATCTTTTGGAAAAATTGGTCCCTGACTATTTTGCAGGTGCTGAGTACCAGTATTTGAGCAGTCTTAGTATAAGCATCCTTGAACATCATATGCGATTTTATAGCCATCAACATAAATTTGATGGGTGTACACAGATACAAAAACTTTCAGCTTCCTTTTGGAAAAAAAGAAATCCAAATATGCACCAAAGCAAGAAGCACCACAAACACTCTGGTCCATGGCCAGCTTTTAGATGCATGGTACATACATGAAGATATAGCCACGGCTATGTCTTGACAACACTTCACGGGATCAGGACCAAGTAGTTTCCTTATTCTACACAACAGTTTCCCCCATAGCTGTTCACAAATTCCCAACTGACTCAACATCCACACAGCGGTATAGCTCAGCTTTCACATACTCCATGCACCTTCTTTACTTCAGCATAACCTTCCTCATCCGCACTTTCTGCCTCCTGCGCTCATACTCAGCTACACACACAAAAAGAGCTTGGTGACCCTGGTTTCTATGTAGCTGCTTTATGACACCATGCCTGGAGCTGCCTGCTCCTCTCTCCACGTGTAACCGTCAGGCTCCACCACCTCTTCTGTGCCCATGGTACAACACAGCCGCTCTCACGTCTTTGTTTCTCCCCTCATCTATGCGCAGCTCATTTGCACTACGCAAACGTCTCCTAGCGGCACACAAACAGTAATCCACGAAATAAAATAAGTCTTTTGTCAGTTATAACACTGAGTCACAGTCTAATGTTAATGATGCTGAAAAATGTTAATTACCTCCCAAGGCGATACTTGTCCCCAGCTGAATTTATTAGTTTGTTTACCAAATCTCCTTCTCTTGTGCATGTTCATTAGGCAGGCTGATAAAACACACAAAAATGCTGTGTGTGTCAGTGGGGTGGTAGAAGACCAGCTAAGCCTGGGGAGGCAGGGGAACTGTTTCTGCCAGGG